TTCATTTCACTGAAACAATAACGTGGCGCACAGTGTGACGCATGCACCAGTTTATTGTATTTCCAGACTTGCTTTCGGCACAATTTACAGTGCACGCTACTCTGTTTTTTGTCAGACTTGAAATAGTCGAAATACCTTCACACTACGGAGCTTCTCTGGCTCTTCCGTTCGACAATCTCTCCGGCATTGGAACCATCATCTGTTTTCTCTTCGGTCACGCTCGGTTGATTTTTCTAGTCGGCACACTCATTTCCTCCATTATGCGCTGGCTCCATTACACGCTGGCTGCTTCCCAAACAAACACACGTGCGGCTTGGCACTTTTTTTTTTTTTTGAGGACAAGAGCGGCGAGGTCTATCGCAATAGCTTAATTTCTCTATCGAGTAAAAGTTATATCGCGATACATATCGTTATCGTTCTATCGCCCAGCTCTACTTCAGTCCAGCAGCTGATCCTCAGTTAATGTGTACGGACTGTTGTTAAAAGGAGAGGGGATGCTACCCAGTGGAAAACAAAGCCCCGTCCTAAGTTTTTAAGGATGTGTTGGTATCATTAAACATTTGATATAATTTTTTTAACACGCAAGTTTAATCTTCTATCATGCATATTACTGTATTCTGTGTTTATTAACATTTTACACAGTGCCCCAGTTTTTTTACTTACTCGAGTAAAATCTGAACTCACCTTTCACAAAATTTATTTCAAATCCAATAATTTTATAAAAATTTATATTTTACATCAAAACAGGAAAATAATATGATTTATGTGTAGTTCCAGATCCCATAAAAAATGAACATCCACAGTTGTGATGTAAAGAAAACCACAGAACCACATGACCCAAGGTAGCTCCTGCCGGCAGTGAGGACACAAGTAATACCTACACAACACTGGTTTTACTTTCATTTCTGAGCAGTTAAGAATTTTTTTAAAAAAAAAAGAAGAAACCAATTGACAAACATATATTTATTAACTTTCTTGGGCTTTTCCTCTGGCCCTGGTTAAAATTTCTCTCCTCTGAAAATAGAAAATCCCTAACTTAGAATATTTGCAGTTCTATAAAGATGCATCTTCAAAGATCTGAAACTTTACAAGCATGAAATACTCGCTCTTTTAACAGACTTTTCAGAGATGCTTGAATCTTCAGTTTCAGCTTTGAACTCTGGTACATCTGACAGGTTTTCTTTTTTTAAGATATTTTTTTTAGCACTTTGCCTTTCATTAAAGAGATCCAGCAGAGACAGACTAGAAAAGTGTTTTTTGTAAAGCAGACAGGGCAAAGTCATGCAGCAAAGGTTGAGCAGAGAGTCAGTTGCTGAGAGCATTTTTTAGAAAGTGGTGTGTGCCCTAGACAATCAACCATCAGGTCACCCCATCAGACAGAGTTTTAACAGGATAAATGAAACCAGGAAAGTGTGCTATTCAGCATAGCAATTTCAAGACCATAGCTTTCAAAACTTAGTTTTGAATCTTATGATTTATGATGGTAATTCCACCTCACAGGGAACTTATATAACACTTCAGCGCTTTAACTCAAGAAGAATTTCTGAGTGCAAGATTTTCAATTTCGCAGGTCTGATTCGGGTGTTTTTTGCCATTACTAGCAAAAACTAGAAAAGTTAAATACAACAACCTTGCTTAAGGATGTCATATTCAGTATTTGACAAATAAGTGTTAATTTAGCAGTTTGATCATTTTGGATGCTGCAGTTCGTGGGCTCAGTTCTATTGCATTATAATAACCGGAATGTCTAATATTATCTCCATTCAAAATTAAAATAACAGAAACACATCTTTGCACAAAGACACCTTCACAATCACCATACATATACTCACAGCACATATAGAACATTATACACTTCACCAGCACACACACAACATGTGCAGCATGCTGTGAAAGTGTGCACAGATGCACAGATGAGTGGGAACAAACATAAACACTGAGAGATGCAATCAGCGAAGCCCAGGACACACAGAGATAAATCTCCACAGTTTGGGACAAACACACACTGGCACACAAATACGCCGAGTTAGTCCGAGTTAAGGCAATCATCAGTAATCTGTGTACCAGGGCTACACACCATCTGTAGTAAAATCCTAGTTACAAAAGATACTTTCATAACTGATCTGTAACCAGTTGTGAAAAAAGCATCCATCCATGCAACGCTTTTCCACATTGTTCCGGGCCTTTGTGTGACGTCTAACACATGCGAATCAAGAAGAGAGGAGAATGAGGGATCTTTGTGTATGTGTGCATCTAGACTCTGCTGAACTGGCTGCCACCAGCCTCCACAGCATTCCACAAACCTCAGCCACCGCACAGATCTTAACCATTCAATAAGCAAATAGCCCCACACGGGCCCTGAAAACCACAGGATATGATTGGTGGAAGCACATACATGTTCTCACTGGTTGGGGAGAGGGAAGGGGCTTAAGTGAGGTTATCGGCAGCTAAGTGGCCACTATGTTTCCCCGTGTCACCCGAGGTTGCTGGACCATTAACACACGTCCAGATAAAACAAAACAATACAAAATAATCAGTGGAAAAGTGGAGGACAAGGAATAAAACTGATATGTTGACCTCCCATATGAATGCATTGCCTACTGTCTATGTACAGCATTTAGACAATAAAATGTTTATGTGTTAGCAGACAAAGGCTTGTTTCTTATCAAATCTTTATAGCAGCACCTTTGTTCTCGGAATTATAGAAGTGACCGCTGTCTGAGCTGTTCACACAAGTAAACAAAGTTAGCAGAAGTGTAAGACAACTGATTTGTTGAGTAGGAGATTTTTATAAACAACTGATTTCATTAAAGCTGCAAGTGTAATTCTCCACAACTTTATTCATCTTTATTGTAGGAATCGAATTCTTCTCGATAGAAATAAATACTAAGCTAGGTGAAAACTGGTGGAAAATTCAGTGAGTAATGATGATTTTCATTGTGGGCTGACCAGAAATGTACATTACGTGACATGTCATCACCGTAACAATATAACCACTGCACTGAAGTCACAGACAGAATAGGCTCCAGTCACACAGGCCTAGAGACCAGTTTATGAGCTCAGCATTCAAAGTAGAGAAAAATGTGTATTCACTAACTGGTTGGCAAGTGGCTACTGGAAGTTGCTGGCTATCAATCAATGAAAGCCTTCTTGTGGTTGGGGTAACCATTCACTTTCAAAGTAAAAGCTGTACATTTTGGAATGTGTTGGTTGCAGTGGTAAGGCACAACTTTTACTCTGAAGGTAAGCATTCTCTGTTTCTGGTTTGCATTGCACTTTTTAAACTTCCACTGCGGCTTGGCAGGTAGTTGGCCAGACAAGTCGGCATGTTCCATGCAAACTATGGCCATCTACCTATCTTCTGTGTCGAAAAAGTGAAGCCAACATGCAAATGCTTTAAACCTGCATTCTTCTGAGTAACCAGCGGGGGGGATTTCTGTGTTTGCCATGAGTACAATGGTACTGTCTATGCTTGAAGAACTAGATTTAACTGAGAGGTAACTGAGCTAAACCAAATGCAAGATGGGTACAATTGTTTTTTTTAATGTTTTTAAAAAGGGTCCAATCACTGCAGTTTCTTTATTATCTGAAAGCCCCATAATACATGATGTAAGGTGAAACTGCCTATGAGGACACCCTTAGATTGACACAAAACCCAGTCATTGAAATCTTTGCATATAGTAGTAATTTCACTGGGTGTTGGCTAAGGCTCTGGACCAAAAATAAACTCTACATAAAATACAAACCGAGCAATCTGTCATTACAAAGTAATAGGTGGATCACCACGAGGGTGCAATAAGTCCACGTCATCTGTCACTGATCTGTATGACAGCTCAGTAACATGTCCTGACATGTTACTGATCTGTATGACAGCTCATTAACATGTCCTGACATGTTCTCTACTGCAGCCGTCAGACAAACTGCATCTAATTACGGCAGAAACCCTGAGCATCATCATCTCCACCTGTTTTCATTCCTGCATCTCAGAAATGTTGGTACTTTTCCAGCTTCTGATTTATCCTCAAAAATCAATTTCTTCTTCATCCCTTTCATCCACCTTTAGTATATTCCCTCCACACATGCATCCACATTATCTCCACTGCTACTTTAACTCTAAAAATATCTCAATTTCCTAATAATGAACTCTTTACCAGGGTTTGCAATATACATGAGAAAATAGAAACAAGGCTAAAGTAAACAGTGTTAGTCTTTGATTGTAATCTAAGCCTGTAAGGGCTGTGGGTTAAGGCTGTTCGCCAGTAAGTAATTAGAAAGGTTCAAGGTTTTGGAAAGCCCCTCTGTAGCTGCTTCATTGTATTGAGTGTACTGTGCTGTGTGTAATCAAAATGGAACAAAAAAAAAAAAAAAAAGAGTGACGCAGGATGTTCATCTTCCCAGCCAGCCAAAGCACCCGTCCACTCTGACTGCTAAGTGGCAGAAATGCTGGCATCAGATCAGCAAGCCAATGTTGTTGGTGAACAATGGCATGATGACGCTCTTGCCATACCATGAGTTGTTGAATAAACTAGGGAATCCCTATTTTGCTAACTACTTCTAACACAGACGCCAAATTGTAGGCCTACCATCTTTTCATTAGATATTCTGACAGCTATACGCCCACTATAACATTCATCCATCCATTTTCCTAACTGGTTATGCATCTTAGCTGGGACACATCCCAGCCGTCTCAAGGTGAAAAGCAGAGTACACTCTGGACAGGTTGTTGGTCCATCGCTAAAGTAAAGAGACAGACAGCCACACACACACCACTACATCTTCTGCCAATTTAGACTCATCAATCAATCAACCTAACATTCATGCCTTTGAAATAAAGACAATTTCAGAGCAGGATATTCAAACCTTGCATCTTCTTGCTAGCCACTGCACCACTGTGCTACCTTGACTATAATATATTCATCAATATATCTAAAAAAAAAAAGGTCTCTCTTTTCAGCCTCCTACTGGTTATAATACAATGACATTATTCAAGTTGTACTCACCAGGCAGTCTGTTCATGTTGACTCCCTGAGCAGACAGGCCAATGCCCATGTATCTGCACATAACAAGAGACAAAAAAAATTAGATTTACATGTCATTACTGAGCGTCCAGCACATTTAAACACTCGGATCAGCTTCTTCTCACATCTTTAATCCAGCTAGCTTTGCAAATTCTGAGCTGATGCTCATATATTCATGGGGGTTGGCAGGAGTAGAGTGTCTTCAGATTCTTCTGACTAGTCATTGTGATTTACTGAGTCCATGAGCTGAAACATCCAAAGTGGCAAACAAGGATAAGCAGTTGGTCTGCATCATTTTCATGTAGACCGGCTTAAAAGGACAGCAAAAAATCTTTTTACTCATTTGAACAAGTCAGCATTATTGCCACTTGAATGCATTTGGCATATTACAAAGTAGTAATAACATAAACATCAGTAATAAATGGCTGCTTTGGGCCACGTGGTTGGTCTTATTCAAATGTTCCATGCTTTTCAAATAAGTTACATTTACAAAGTAAGAGGAGTAAAAGACACATCAGTCAAGTCTACAAAAACTCAGGGCTGTGTGAACACAGCTAGACATGCTAGCATCTCTGTGATGCTGGACTTTGTCATAGCAAGCTTTTGTGCTCAACAATAATAGCAGGTAAACTTAAAATGCACCTGATGCTGGCACAATATAAAAAATTAAAAGATCACCAAAGTTATTAAGCTCTCACTTATGTCTGCATTGATCTGACTTATCTAGCGTTGGAATAAATAATGAAAAAGACTAAAGGAATACATCAGCGGGTTTCATCTTCAAAAGATGAGAACAAAAATATCTGCACAGAACTTTGACACTCCATCCAACAGATGCAGAAATATTTCATCACCAAAGCTATGAACAAAAAGACTGATGCACTCTCTCTCTCTCTCTCTCTCACACACACACACACACACACACACACACACACACACACACACACACACACACACACACACAGCCGCTAGGGCTAACATGCAAATCTATTAATATGACTCACACAGTAATGAAATAATAATGAAAAAGAAATACGTAGACATAAATTTTAATCAAATTTGCAGCAGCACAGCGGCCTACAACAAATAAAACATCTGAAGAGAGAAATCCAAATAAAAACAAGATTATTCTTAGTCAGTGCTCTACAATCATTTTTCAGTCAAATTAAACCAGTTGAGTGTCCATGTTAATTAATCCTCTCTCTGCTTTCTAGATTAATGTGGCCAATCTGCACAAAGTCAGCAGCACTTTTTTTTTAAACCAAAAAAGCTTTTTCCAAAGAGAGTTTAATAATTCCACTAGGATATGGCTAAGGAAGGTTCTGTAATAACCAGTGATGATGAAACCAGTGACTAAGCCATTGAAGCAACTCAAATAACACAAAGTAGTCTTTTACGGTGGCTCTATTTATACTTATTTTACCAATGCTTTTTCCTTTACCTCTGACAGATATTCTTCACTTCTTTCATTTAATTATTAGTGTTCAATTTTATGTTCATGCAAAATAGGTTAGCCTTAAGTTTCTGCAGTGGTATAGCTTGCCACTCTAGGCATGGTACCAACGGTTCACTGCAATATTCATGCTATAAAATATGCGCAATATTATTTTTTTTAATTAAATGACCCACAACAACTTTTAATGATATTTATGATAATAAATTTTTTTTGAGTATACATAGACTACCAGTCAAATATATGAAAAAAAAATGATAATAAATGTGTTATATTTTAGATTTCTGGCAGTAGCCACCCTTTGCTTTGTTGACTGCACTGCAAACCCATGGCCTTTTCTCAATGAGCTTCATGATGCAGTTATGCCTGAAATGGTTTCACTTCACAGGTGTGCCTTGACAAGGTTTCTTTGTGGAATTTCATAATAATGGGCTTGGGACCATCAGTTGTGTTGTGCAGAAGTCAGGGTTGTCAGCTATGTACCAACCTATCTGACAACTGTTACAATACATTTTATGGCAACAACCAATCAGCTAAGTAAAGGACAGGTGCCAGTTCAGCTCACAGGGATGAGCGGTGCTGCATGGCGGAAAGCATCTGGCCCGGGTTCGAGTCCGACCCGCGGCCCTTTACCACAGGTCTTCCCCTTTCTCTCTCTCCCTCTGCTTTCCCATCACTCTTCACTGTTCTGTACAATAAAGCTGAAAAAGGCCAAAAATAAGGTATTTAAAAAAACAGAAACCACAGGCCATTATTACTTTAAGAACTGAAGGTCTGTCAGTTTGGAAAATTGCTAAAAAACAAACGTGTGCCCAAGTGCAGTCACAAAAACCAAAAAGCGCTACGACGAAATTGGCTCACATAAGGACCATCCCAGGAAAGGAAGACCAAGAGTCACCTCTGCTGCTGAGGATAAATTCATCAGAGTCACCAGCCTCAGAAATCGCAAGTTAACAACACCTTAGATTAGAGCCCAGATAATTTCCACACAGAGTTCGAGTAGCAGACTCATCTCTACATCAACTGTTCAGAGGAGACTGTACAAATCAGATCTTTGTGCTCTGATAGTTTGGGATGAGATGGAGTGAAGGCAAAGGGGTCAATAAATACTCAGCATCTCTGGGAACTCCTTCAAGACTGTTGGAAAACCATTTCAGCTGACTACCTTATGAAGCTCATCAACAAAATGCCAAGAGTGTGCAAAACAGCAATCAAAGCAAAGGATCGCTACTTAGAAGACTCTACAATATCAAACATGCTTTGAGTTATTTCACATTGAGTTGTTGTTGTTTTTTTGTTTACTACATTATAATCTACAATGTAAATAGTACAATGTAAATAGTAGAGCTGGGCGATATATCGAGTTTTTAAAACATATCGATATAATTTTATACGAGATATAAGATGTGACAATATCCTTTATATCGATATAGTCTATGTTACGTTATAATTATAGTTGTGGAGCCGCAAGTTTGCCTGTCTTTCGTCCACTTTTGTCTCTACGCAACGTTACTCTGCCTCGCCTTCACTGAAGACAACTCCCCCTCCTCCCCCATCACTTCACGTGCAGGCAGCGACAAGATGGACATGGCAAATCTCCGTTAACGAGTTACTGCGCATCGCCCTATGCGTGGGGCTGGACGGCGTCAACGTGCTAACGAGCTAACCGCGCTAACCCTAAAATCCTTTCATTCTCTCAAAAGTTGATAGCGCGCCTTATGTATGAATTCTGGTTGTGCTTGATGGCCGCGAACCGATTTTATGTGGTACACGGCGCTCAGCAATCTGTCAAAAATGTTTGAGTACGACTTTGGTAAGCTACGGAGCTGCACCGCTTGATAGATTGTCGGCGCATTACGGCTACCGAGGAGCTTCGCGGAGTGATACGTACTGTGCTTCAACGTAATATTACCGTATTGTGTGTGTATAAGGACCATAAATGGCACCTGTAAGAGACGTGGTTATGAAGTGGATTTCAAACTCCAGGCTATCAGTCACACAGTAAAACTCGGGAACAGAGCAGCTGTGAAATCTGTCTGTCTTTGTTATTACGCTCAGCGTCTTTTAGTTTACATTTTGACTGCACAATTGTGAGCTCTTTGTTTAGCACAAAAACAAAATTGTTTTCTTTTATTTATGGAGCATTATTATTTAATAAATGCTCATAATTTAATTTTGAGTAATTTTTCATGTACATCTGTGCTGTATGTTAATAAAAGTGCCTGTGTGACATCTGGGACACAGCTTTGACTAAGAACTCTTTTTGTTCTTACTTTATGGCTTAAAAAAAAAAATAGAGATATATATCTTATATCGCCATCCAGCTAAAAAATATCGAGATATGAATTTTGGGTCATATCGCCCAGCCCTAGTAAATAGTCATAAAAATAAAGAAAAAACATGAAATGCAACAGGCTAAAGAGTCACTGTAACACCAAATTCTCTGACTTTTCATGGTGAATTGCAAAACAAACCACGGAACTCTCTCAGAATATTTTCATTATGTCATTCAATTGGCTAACTGCTACACTAGAGCATTTCAGTAAAAGTGATTTAATTCATCTACATCTACGGCAGTGAATAAAAAGTTGGAATTCTATTTAGTTTCAGTGTAAGCAGCTTGAAGCAACCCAAAGCTACAGATCCACAGCTTAGTTCTGCTACACATGACGCCACCTCATTCAAACTGACGGATTAAAGAGCATTGAAGTCCATGTGATTTCTGCTTAAACCAGTTTAGATTGATTTAAAAAGTTGTAAACAAAAACTTTGATCCAGTTGATGAGTCAAATCATCGACTTATAGGCTGCAGCCCAACAAAACTGTAGAGATACACCAATCAACTGCCCAGGGACTGGAATTGGCTCATATCAGTGATCAGGAGGTGACCCTCTGATTTCTCAAGACAAATAGTCATGCACACTTACAGCCACATGCTAACATATTGTTAGCATGAAGGCTCTTTACTGTCAATGAAGACACAAAATCTGCCAAAGTAGAGTCCCTAGGGTACCAGTGTGGAAAACAACAACAACAAAACAAGCTAAAGCTATCCACATCTTAGCAGTCAAAGGGTCAAGGTACTAAAATTATTAAAGTGAGTGAAAAAGGTAAAAGAGCCAGTATCCTGTTATCTGGTAAAATAAGCAGCAACTCATTTTCAGTTAATTATCTGATCCCCTTTCCAGTGTTAGAGCACTTTATATTTCAAAGTTGCCTCAGTGAGAGAAGATAATGTAACTTATTACACTTACTGCATGGAAAGTTCAATAATTTCTTTTATTCTGGAAATCGCATTGAAGAAAAGTTTGTATATGCTGTCAGTTCTCACAAAGAAAACTAGAATCATAAAAATGAGTATTTTCAGATTACACTAATACGAATCTGGACTTGGAGAAGAAAATTACAATCAAGATATCTCTACGAAATTTTAATGAATTCAAATTCTTGAATTTATGGCTTTTTCTCAGTACTGTCTGAGACCCGAGATGTGAGCTTATTTTTAAGTTTCAAAACGACTTATTAGCTTATGGGTGTAACTTGAAATGTATACACAGAGTACATGTTATTCCCGTGGCATTCCACGACACATCATGCAGCTTCTAGCTGCCTAAAAATGAAAGCCATACAAACATATTTTGCATCACTTCTTTTGTATGTCTAGCTGTTTAACTGGAAATAGGGAATGTTTACTGTGCAATTTGAATTTTTTAAATGGAGAGGTATTTCAGCTCCAATCAAGTCACAAAAGAGAATCTGAAAGCCAGACATTTAACCACATGGCAAAATAATTGCAGAGACTAACCTAACACTTACTCATCAGCAACCTCAGCAATCACTGAATTAGCTGAAAGGCAATGACTCTCTTTTGTGCGGTATGGCCTCATTTGACAATAAAGATCTTTGCATATTCATTTACATATGGAGTTCATCTTTGACTGTTTTATAATGTAGAAGTAAATTTGCCATTCAGGTCCTTCCAAAGAGTCCTGTAATAACAGAACTAAACTGGAGGAACTTTCTTGCTGTTAAATTCCATGTGGCAACTTTTTCAGCAACAGTGCACAACGTTACCTATTCTAGCTGCCAAAATGAAGCAAACAATTCCAGACCCAGTTTATCTAGGAGGATACGCTTGGTGAAATAGACTTCTCTTAGTACTTTTAAAAAAAATGTATCAATTTGAAACTGTGTGTGTGTGTGTTCCTGTCTAGCTATCTTTGTGAGGACCGAAATCTGCATTCTACTATACTTGTGAGAACCAACAGTCACTTGTGAGGACACACTCACCGGTCCTCACAAGTTTGAAGGCCTTTTTGAGGCTCAAAATGTGGTTTTAGTGTCAGGGTTACAATTAGGTTATGGTTAGGGTAAGGGTTAGGCATTCATTTTTAATGGTTAGGGTAAGGTGCTAGGGAAACCATTATGTCAATGAAGGTCCTCACTAAGATAGCTGAACAGGCTTGTGTGTGTGTGTGTGTGTGTGTGTGTGTGTGTGTGTGTGTGTGTGTGTGTGTGTGTGTGTGTGTGTGTGTGTGTGTGTGCGTTCTGATTAAATAATCAATTCCCACAGGGCCATGATGAAGAGGCAGTCTGGGCTCAAAACGTTCCATATTTCCTAATTCTGGAAATGACACCCAATTATTGTAATTCTAGGGCAACTAAGAAGAATATCTTGACTATAAGCATACAGATCTACAATTTTCAGGTGTAGTCCCTCACATTAGATGACAGTGATGATTACTAAAACTGTACTTTTAAGGCTGGCTACCATTTTCACTGGTACAGCAGATGAACAAAAACACCCCAAAATTTTCCACTGATGTAACTCTCTCTGTCGTGACAAAGGATTTGGACAGTAATACGATAATTGATATAAAGACTGCTGTTTTGATACAGACTCAAGGTGGAAAAAACTTTGCACAACCAAGTTAACAGGTGTAAATGCAAAAAACTGACAAAAAGGAACAAAGACATTGTTACCGACAAATTTTGCACCAGTGCTACAAATGATTGTCATAAAAAATACTATTTTTATAACCATCAAATTAAATGTTTAAATGTTAATTAAAAATCGAATTCATGTAATTTATTTCAAGTTATTAAAGTTGGCTATTTTTTTCTTTAAAATGAAACAATAAGAGGCAGGGTTTTACATATACACACATATATAAAACCCTACTCCTCTGATAATATCCTCAGAAAACAGCCAGTGCAGTGACTCATGGACCTAAGCTTCAAAGTCAGAATATAATAAAAACTAACAGGAAATACACAAAGTTACTGCAATTTTATTTTTGCGTGGGCACACTGAACATGTTATGAATGACCCGAGGGGGGGCGCTAAGTCAGGTTACCATGGTAACATAGGGCACCAACTCTAAGGTTTTAAAAGTTGCATCTGCTTACCCATCTCGACCTTTGCTGACAATCTTGACTTCAAAGTAGTAGATCCCACAGGCAGCAGGGATTGGGTGTGTGGCTCGCACTGATGCTGCATCTTTGTGGTTCTTTCCATGACCTGATAAAAGAGAAATACAAGGTGTACATGAAGAACATGGTAGCCTAATACAAAAGGACTTTAAAAACAAAGAAACACTGGGCTTGCATTTGACTCCTGATTGTCTACCAAAGTCTCATGATATGGCACTGACCTGGATTCTTAGTATTTACATAGTTTAATTAGTCATAAATTTGCTATCTGGTCAAAAGAAAAAAACACATAAAAAGTAGAACCTGACATTTAGAGACAAACACACTGACAAATAAACTTAACTTAGACTAGATGTTAAACTTAACATATAGTCTAGTAACTAGTAGTGCAAATGACGTTTTCAAATGTAGATAAATAACTAGGTAGAAGTGTACAAAAGGCCACCCCCAAACACCAGGTATCCATGGACATTGCCCATGGACTAAATTGCCTTTAAAAAGACACTGGTTTACATCTACATTTGGTTGAAACGTGGCCTGTTAAAAGTTGACCAAATTATGTTTATTTTTGTGACCAAATCAGTAGATTGTCCGAGGCACTGTGGAAGTAGAGCGCCCTTTATAACTTTTAAACCTTTTAAAGGATTTAGATGTAAAAGGATGTCTTTTTGTAAATGTCTTTTGAACAGCCTCAGAAGCTGACTTTTCACCTTCAACTTTTTAACCTAATCTCAGCATTCTTCAGACATCAAAGCTTTCTTCAATGTCTTTTCAACGTCTTTTTATTAAGGGGTTTTTTTCTGTGGAAGGAGGACTGGATAATGCATAGGCACATCTCTATAAATATGACAAAAAAAAAAGAATGTGTATGCGCATATCTGCCTTAGTGTATACACACAGTTTTGGTTGGTAATATAAACAGAGCTTTCTGCATCTGGCCCCAGGTCTTTTGCAATAATGTGCTCTGAACAGACAAAAGATAGAGTGGTGTGGCCAGAGTAACGGCAGACATGTTTGATGAAGACCAAAGGCAGCTTTTCAGAAGAAGCTCATCTAATCTGAATATGGCAACAGAAACAGCTGTAGGTTTGATAACTAACCTAACTGCCATCAGTTTTCTTATTTATTCCCCCTACATTTCCACAAGGCTGTGTTGGGCTTGCACCACAAGGCTGAGTGATCAGTGAGGCTCAGATTAGGCTCAGATACGCGTGGATTTCTCAAATAACATTCATCTTTTTGTTAAGGTGACTTTTCTATGAATAGGTTATACAGGACATTGATTTAACACAGTCTGGTAAAGATGTAGACAATGAGGTCACAGGGCTCATGTATTTTGTCTGGACCAATTAGATTTGAGCACAACACATATTACTGTCTGTCATTCTATATTCAGATGGCTGCTTATGCAATCCCTCGGGTCATGAGAGAGAGAGACTAATATGTTCAGTACTGTTGTATAACTGCAATCTAGCCTCTACAGTAAGCATGTGCATCTCTTTCTGTTACATGTAATCGCACCATTGACTGAGCTCACCTGTCACCACACATAACAAGTCACTGAGAGCTCTGTGTGTGCATGAAATGTAGACATGCTGTAACCTTAAACGAAGCAGCTGCTGTCAGCAGACACCTTGAGGCTGTTGCTGTTTGTTGTGTGTGAGGGGGACTTAAGTGTGGTCACTAAAATAAAGTTATACATACTATAGAGTAGAACAGGAAGTTAGAAATATACTGGCTCGATGTGTTTTCATTTTTTCAAAAAATACTCTGTAAAATACTCTTAGTATAGCATCACTTGTATAGGTTTACAGTAACAACACCTCTTTAACTGTGATCCTAACTCTTTTAATGATATTTGTTTTATATTTTTTTAATAAGGGTGCAACTATGACACTATTAAAAGATCACAGTGCCTTAATTAATAATGAACTAAAGCATGTTAGAGTCTGAATTACATTAACACTATATAAAATATCCACATATGCTAGCCCATTAGTGTTTTTTAGGAAGCACAAAGTGACAGGACATTCGCTAACACTCATTTTTGCATCTTTTTTGACCCACAAATCCACTATGCATGTTCTATCATGTTTACACATGTGACTGGCGTGCCTGTGCGTGTCTGTGTGTGTTTGTGTGTGTGTCAGCCAGTAGTCTAATTTTAGACCTCAGTAGGCCAGCAGGTCTCTTTGGGACTACATAAATGGGTATGTGAGATGGTTACTACCGTTAACCAAAATGTCTGGTTTATAATTCTGCATTCATGCTGATTCATGCTGATTAGGCCGTTGTGGTTTTTTATTTGTATTAGATAAGAAACTTAGAGTGTAACAGTGTTGTAAAGTTTGAATGAAAGGCCATGTGATTTAATATTAAAGCCCTGGCAGTATTAGACATTTCTGCTCTTGTGCGACTTTAAACCTTTCCACAAGAGTTCAAGGAGCAACTGTTAATGTCCTGTTCCTCTTCACCCACAGCACTGTGTGGCCTTAATTGCTTACTAGAATATCAGCAGTCTGCCTCCAGGGTGTATTTTTGACCACTAGCAGAGGCAAAGTGCAAAATCTATCTGTTCAATAATAGCAAGCACAACAAAGACCAAAGCAACACGTTGCTAAATGCCTCACAGTGTCAAAAGAAGCAGAGTCCATATCACTATGTCAACATCATAATAACATTTGAGGATTTATTTATAGTATGAGGAAGTACAAAAATTCTTATATGACTTCATGAGGGAATTAATGCCATTTATATTAGACCCTAGCTGACAACACCGCCACCATATACTCAGTTATGATACTACTAAGCTACAGACCTTGCTAGGTATTAAAAACATGAATTCAGAGCTGCTTTCCTGTTCAGACTCTTTGATTACATCTTTTATTTAACTTACTAAAAAATAACTAAATTTTTTTGGACTGGTATAGACTAATACATTGGTTATCAAATGTGTCTAAACTAAGAAAATACTTCAGTCAAAACAAAAGTGAATATAACACTTTGGGCATGTGGCCATACAGCACAAGGCTACATATTACTTGTTTGTGTGCAGAGATACACCTGGAACTTGTGCTAAAAGGTTTGTATCTTCTGTTTTGGTCTCCCTGAGGCAGATTATGCTACACAGCAGCACTTCATCACTGTGGCCTCTAAGAGATATGATGGCCTAGTTAATAATAAATGGAAATCTGGAAATGGTATTTTTCCAAGTCAGTGATATTAAGGATTTTTAAGTTACTTTATTTCCCATCTGATGGGAATGCTGATAAAATCTCATACAGTTAAAGTTAAATAAAATCTCAAATTAAAGATGCTATAACCTGTTTGTCTTAAGTTAGCAATATACTACAAATATACTATGAGATAACAACATTGTTACCATTCTACTGACAATACATGAATGCAGCACAAAGGTTAGGGCCACGTGACCTTTGAAAACATTAATCTCTGAACTTTAATTATGTGTCTTCTGCCTAGATAAGAGCTGAGGCAGAGGTATGTTCTCATTGCGATTTATCTACCTTTCTGTCAGCGGGATTATGCAGGTCAAAGTTAACAAAACTTGGTGGAGAAGCTGAGCATGAGCAGAGAAGGAAACTAACTAAATTTTAGCCTGTATCTAGATCACGTCCTTCCTAGTGTGCTGCAGGAATGAGTCTTAAAAATTCATAAATGAGACAGGATTTTTCATTTCTGGTTCCATTTTCTGGATCAGATTTTTGTTTAGATGCTGCAAATATGATAACGAGATGCTTTAAATATTTTCACATTTTTTTCTTAAAACACAGAAGTAAACTGAAGGTATTACATGAACATGTGTTAGCACATAAATGGCTAAATAAGGCTAGAGACTTCAGGGAAATTCAGCACCAACTGATCACGCTAAAAACACGTTCTTAGTAGTGTTTATATGAACGTCATGCAATTGATGTGTAGTTTGTTTATAGCCTAACAATTGAGTTCTGTATCTCACAATTGTATTTATGCTAAAGAAATTTTTAAAAAAGTAGCATGACTGTGGTATTCCAGTCATATAAAGCTCCAAAGTAAGGCCAGAACAGGCAGTTATGACTCTACAGAAAAACCAAGTACAACCTTGACGGTCCCTAAGAACTAGGAGATCAAGTAGCAGCCAAGTGCTGCTATTCAAATGAACTGGTTTAACTAATCGTTAAGCATGAACATCTTTATGAAAGCAGATGTTTTGGCAGTTTGCTGGTCTGGAGCATTCATTTGTGTTGTACATATTAGAAATTGATATTAGATATTAGAGAATGAACTAAAACAGGAAACAATTCTTTAAGGTATTGTTGTTCTACAAGCTACTGAACCACTGGATTGAACTTACTCAGACTTTTTCAAATCACAATAATTCTAGTTTGAAAGCAACAGGTGTCTAGTTTCAATATAGATGCAACTTCATACTGAAGCATAATGACCAAAAGTATAAAAAAAAATACCACATATCGTGATATATATATACACACTTATTTTCAGTTACCGTATGTCTTATTACACATCTTCTATCCATTTTTAACCAAGTTTAGATGGTGACTAAATGACATTTCCTTTACTCACTTTACTTTTGTTACAGTTAGAGAATTTACACCTTTCTTTCTTAGGCAATAAACCAAAACTAAACAATATTAGAGTTTAAATTGGTTTGTGGCACAATTTCTAGCACACACTGACAAAGCAGATTTACCATAAATGTGTTTGGCTTCCTGGCTGGTAGCAGCCGGCATTCCGAGATCTTCAATGAAATATACATCAACGAGTAAAAGGAGGCAACAAGCCAGCTATTCAACCTGCTAAACCTCCTGAGCCAGAGCCAACTCCAACTCTGTCATACATAGAGTTTGGGCAGCATAGCTGTCCCAATTTTCATGGTGCATTTGGAAATTTCAAAAAAATTATGATGGCACTCATTTTGGACCACTTCGGCCAATTCCAATTACCATGACTTCATCGTGATGGCAACAAAAGTTAGCATAATATAGGTTCTGAAACATGTAACATAATGATGCTTGGCAGGCTATTATGCTCATTTTATAACTAAACAGTGCTGTAAATATTTACATGTCACCTGTCGTAAGAAGACAATTGAAAATTTTCAACCTCTGAGTTGAATCAGAAAATCAGCATTAGCGAAAGTTAAATCAAAATGTAAAAAACAAACCATTAGGTCTTTCTGAAAATACCAACAAATTTGTCTTTAAAAGTGTCGGTTCAAAATATGTCAAAAGTATTTAAATACCTGAGTATGCAGATCAAATACAATATAAACCAAATATATAAACCAAACAATATAAAACCTTTAGTAGACCCTTTAGTAGACTCACTGCACAAATGTACAGTGCAATAACAAATAACCTCTGAAAATGACGGCGAAGTGTATCCTTAATGAACTCTTATCTAAGATTTCTACCTTCTGTATCTTCCAGTAACTTTCCTTGTGATTTTCCACTAAAATTGCACTGTGTTTAATAGACTTTGCTAGTTCAAGTTGTCCTGTAGGAGCAGCTCTTCGGACAATTATGAGCAATTAGGTCCTTGTACAGTGGACTCAGGGCCTTTGTCTAGTAAAGTATGCAGGGTGTATGCCTCCACAAAAATCTGCACAAATCCACCTATGCAGACAACCAAACTATAAACAGTAATGTCATCTTAGGCTTTTGAGGCTCTGGATAACACCAGGGTGGTGAGGAGTGACTATGGAATAAGCTCAAGGAAGAATGCCCATATGGAAAAGATGTATATAAATCTTATAAGGTTTGCATCTGTCTTATGTGAAACTTGTATGAAAAGCATACAAGAGTGAAACCAGACATAAGATCCCTTGAAAAATTGTATAAATGAAACTTGTACGTTTTGGATACTTACTAAAACAATATATGAAAGTAATGAGAAAGTGTCCACTTTCATGAGTAAATCATATAAGCCTTATATGATTCACTATATGAAGTAGGCCACATCTTATGCAAGTCTTTTATAAGTTCTTTCTATTTCTTTTCCATATGGGTGTAGTTGCCACACACCTGTTCGTGTACAATAGTTTGAAAAAGTTATTGCCCTCTAAACCTAATAACACTTAGCAGCAAAAACTGCAATCAAGTGTTTGCAATAATGGCCAAGGAGTCTTTTACAGCACTGTGGAGGAATTTTGGCCCACTCATCTTTGCAGAATTGTCTTAATTCAGCCACATTGGAGGGTTTCCCATGATAAACCGCCTTTTTAAGATCATGCCACAACATCTCAATCAGATTCAGGTCAGGACTTTGACTAGGCCACTCCAAAGCCTTCATTTTGTTTTTCTTAAGCCATTTAGAGGTGGACTTGGAGTGTTTTGGATCACTGACCTCTTCCAAAACCCAAGTGTGCTTCAGGTTGAGGTCACACAGATGGCCAGATATTCTCTTTCAGGATGTTTTGGCAGACAACAGAATTCATGGTTCAGTTTACCACGGTAAGTCTTCCAGGTCCTGAGGCAGCAAAACAGCTCCAGACCATCACACTACCACCACCCTGTTTTACTGGTGGTATGATGTTCCTTTTCAGAAATGCTGTTACTTTTACACTAGATGCAATGGGACACACAACTTCCAAAAAGTTTAAGTTTTTTCTCATCAGTCCACAAATTTTCCTAAATGTCTTGGGGATCTTCAAAATGTTTTCTGGCTAAACTGAGACGAGCCTTTTTGTTCCTTTTGCTCAGCAGTGGTTTTCATCTTGGAACCCCGCCATGCAGACCATGTTTGCCCAGTCACTTTCCTTAATGTGGAGTCGTGAACGCTGACCTTAACTGAGGCAAGTGAGGCCTGCAGTTCTTTGCATGTTGTTCTGGGGTCTTTTGTGACATCTTGGATAAGTCGATCTTGCACTCTTGGGGTAATTTTGGTCGGCTGGCCACTCCTGCGAAGGTTCACCACGGTTTCATGTTTTCACCATTTTTGGATAATGGCTCTCACTGTGGTACGTTGGACATCTAAAGCTTTAGAAATGGGTTTATAGCCTTTTCCAGACTGATAGATCTTAATTACTTTGTTTCTCATTTGTTCCTGAATTTCCTTGGATCGTGGCATGATGTCTGGCCTTTGAGGATATTTTGGTCTACTCCACTTTGTCAGGCAGGTCCCATTTAAGTGATTTCTTGATTGAAAATGGGTGTGGCAGTAATCAGGCTTGGGTGTGGCTAGAGGAACTGAACTTAGCTTACCAAAGATGTGATACACCACAGTTCATTTATGTAATAATGGGGAGGTACGCTGGGGTCTAAGTGACGTAAATGTCATTATCATCTGATTTCAAAGACGTATAACAGCAATTACTACTCCAGCTTTTGGTGTCTGTACACAACAGAGAATGACTGAGGCCTTAGTTGCGACTATTCCGCAGCAGCATCTAGTGCAGCCTGTAGGTTTCTCTATTTGTGCACTTTAATTTCAACATGGCTCAAACAAATGGATTGCAGTTTGAAATAAATGAAACCCTAATAAAAATCATGATCCTATTTAGATAAATGCTTTCCTTTTGCTCAACTAAATTTCGTAAAGTATGTGAATTTGAAATCCCGTACTATTCCTTTAGTTCCACGTCAGTCTTGTTATGGTTATTCACAGTATATATTAAAGTGCTTCTCTCAAAGGTCAAAGAAATGATTAGTTGACTTTTTTGAAACTATTTGCTTGCGAAAAGTTTTGCTCAGTTAAAAGTTTGCTTGGTACACTGACATTGTGATTACTGTAAGTCATAAAACATAAATCTACAGCAAAACAATTAGTATTCCAACAAAATCCTTAGTCAACAGCTTGGTCTTTCATCAGGGTGCAGCTGAATTTATTATGTGTGTAAAAGTGCAAAGAAAACGCTATAGGGTGTGTTACAGAACATTAGATTTATTCCTACTATGTATTCCTACTATGCAACTGTAACCCTCTCTTTATTTCTAAGTTAATGATAAAATTATCTTTGCATCTGCAGAGGTGTAAAAATTAACACCATTTGCTGCATTTATTGGTACAAAGTCATTAAGTTTGTTTAAGTATCTATCTTGCTGCTGAGGCTGCGAGGATTAATCTCTGTCAGTGCGCAGCAGGACTAGGTAGACACTGCATGGCCTTGAACAGAGAAAATTGGCACGCTGGTCAAAATAGCATCCAAACCACAAGGGTGAGGGAACAGAGCAGGAACAACCAGGAGCAGAAAAAAAATATCTCACACACTCCAGAACAAACCTATTTATATGTCATGCCTTAACAATAGTGCAGTGTCACTGAATCTGTGCACCTTTCATAAACATAATGACTCAATGTCCAACATAACCTCAACAAGAACCCCCCCCCCCCCCCCCCCCCCCCCCTCATCCTCAGCAATACACCACTTTGAGCCAGTGCCAGAGCTGTTAGGTAATTCTAGACTAGAATACAATTATCTTAACAGCACTGATTATAGCAAAAGGTAAATCAACATTCTCAACATAACAGATAAACTGAATGGAAGCTCATATTCAACTGCTCATCAGCAGGGACCTGATCAATTATGCATTAAATGATCTGCGGTTGTATCTGGCATTAGGCCCGAGTCTACAAATAAGAGGCCCTCCCTGCTATTTCCAAACTGTAGGACCACCACTCCATCAACCTCACAAAATGGATTACACAACCTTAATTTTGAATTACACATCTTGCCTGTATCCTCTCACCTTCTACACGGGGCCCAAAGGAGCCTATCAATTGGGATTTTTCACAGTGTGTGATTAAAGTCTTGCAGTGTTTTCCTGTTTTGGTGTGTGTGTGTGTGTGTGTGTGTGTGTGTGTGTGTGTGTGTGTGTGTGTGTGTGGGGGGGGGGGGGGGGGGAGGTTTGTCTGAACAGCACAGAAGCCGTCACACGGATGTCACCTTGTTTTGATATAGGTGGTTGCTAAATTGAGACGGCTAAAAGCCCTGCTGTCAGCTTTTATCCATCTGAATGAAAGACTGACTGAACCGTCTGGTTGCTGTTAACGTTAAAATGCCAGAGCCCGTCGATACTCCGGATTTATTACCAGAACGGTGCATTTTGGCCTAATGTAATGCGCAGAGGCCTTCCTCTCACGGCAGCACCTCTGTTGCCTGCTAGAAACTGGACCTGAAACTGTTGTTAGGCTCGGGGCACGCAGATCTGAATGGAGGTGGACGGGAAAATGATTGGAAAAGACTTCTAGAACACTGCTCTGAAATCACATGAGAAACACAATGCCATTTTATCCTGTTTGCTATAGCACTGTACAGCGTTAATATTTCAACTGATACTGCACTGGAAAACAACAAGTTCTGTTGGTGTCCACCTCGGAACCTACTGTCCTCAATTCAATATTAGGAACAGCTAAGTTGGCTAACGTTAGCTAGTTAGCCACAAGGCTAAGTAATGTGTTTGGTTAACAGCTTTCTGTTAGCAAGCTCCCGTAAGTTAGACAGGGGTTTGCCAATAAACTATGCGTCGTTACTGCTACCAGTGTCCCCTTCCAGTACAAAGCGAGGAGAACGTCAGATGCAGTGAGTTTACTCCAAAGCAGTAACGTCATAAACAGTAAATAAACAAAGAAGAGCCATGATATTGAAGATTTCAGTGTGACGGTAATGAGACCGATGGCCAGGGTTAGCGAGTTCACTGTCACCCATCTGGGCATTCCTCTGCTCATTCGTGAAACAAAGCAAGGTTACAGGACAGGAGAGGCAGCTCAGACTAGATTTACCAGGACTGCACACGCACATACACAGTCAACATAATCGCATACTGAGTGTGTATGTGTGTGTGTGTGAGAGAGAGAGAGAGAGACCCCCCTTCGGCAACAACACAGACAGATTTGAACTGCTGTTTTGACTACACACTTAGGCCCATCAGTGATGAGGCAGGTCTCTAACCTTTGTAATGGACCCGTAGGTTGTTCTGTGACAGCCCAATGTAGCTGTATTTATCCTTGGGGCTCCAGGATCGGGGTAAAGGGGTCTCTTCCTCGTTTACAGCCGGGTAAAGCCGCTTCAGCCTCTCGTTAAGCTCGTGCTCCTGGTAATTAAAAGCAGGATCTCCCAGCGGCAGGCTTCCCGCTCCGAGCTCTGTCATTTTTTTTGGCCTCCTGTTTTTGTATCTTATTGTTCGTTTCTTTCTATCCAAAGCCCAGTGTCAGTCCGCTGGAGCTGTAGGCTGAGAGTGAGAGGGACTGAGGGGAGAAAATAGCAGCGGTGTGACATCCCCGGATAAGCAGCAGAATGTACTGTAGGCTGAAATAGTGTCGTATGGGTACTGTAGTTCAGCTGCACGCTCGCTTTTATGCTAATGTCACTAGAAATGACTACAGAGTTCCACTACTGTTAGACGGGTTTAGGGCCTTCCAGTGAGATAGGGGCTAGGAAATGTAGTTTTCGTCTGTTAAACTTACACACGTTTTCAGAACGTTATATAATTTAAATTTGAACTTTACATGGTAAAACTTGTATTTATTTGTAAGTTAAAGGGTATTTTTACAGTATTAATAGCAGTGTTATTTCCTCGGCGAAATATGTGCCTGTTCATAAAAACACTGTGTTGTTTACTAAGTTTTATTATATTGTAATTAATATAGCAGATATGTGAAATAGCCTTTATAAAACACGTTACCATATATTAGTTATTATATATCAAAGTTAATGATTGAGTTGAGCAGATAAAATCATTGCCATTTTGAAAATTAGTTAGGCGCACACCGGGCAACTACGTGGGGTCTTGTTGCGTAGTCAGTCGTCGTTACCATGGAAACCCTGCTTCAACTGTTGTGCTGTGCGACGCTAAAGCCGATCTCATCGAGTTAAACTGACGAAATACAACAGTTTCAAACGGGCTAAGTGTTTGTTATTGTCTACCCCTTATATCAAAGCTATAAATGTCACCAAACAAAGATATAAAATTTCCACCTCTAACACCGTCACAAAAAACAAGGCAAGTGATGAAATGACTTCCATTTACACCAAAAATCATGCTACGTTTGTTTTTATGTATAAATACATTTGTATTTCAAAGCTTATTTAAAGTACGTTTAAGGCAGACTGACTTTGTTGTTTGCATATTAGACTTACATATGAATACAATCTACAAAGTTACACAGCCCAGACATCAGAGGAAGGACATGAAGAGGAAAGTGCTGGTGGTGTATCTGTCCAACCATGTGCAACGAGAAAGGTACGTAAATCAGGTAACATTACACAAACAGCAATCTGACTTTGTCCTGCCAACATCTAAAGTCTTTTAATTGGTATAAAGATCATCTAAGAACTTCATGGCATCTTTATAAACTTTATCTTTCAGTGTCACAGGAAAGTTCCTTTCACAGTACTGTGTGTGCTTTTGTGTGACCAATCATGTAGTGCTGGACAGGAGGCAGTTACTTTTATGCAGGCCCAAACAGAAAGCCACAACTTCTGATGCAGCTGGAGAACTATGTGAGCAAGGAGCTTCATACTATCGACCCACATGAGCCAAAATTTCAGGAGCTGAAACTTCAGGTGAAATGTTTTTGTTGATTGTATTTATGTTTAGAAGATATATACGTATTTTCTTGCTGCAGTCTAAGTACTTACAATCTTACTCTACTTTGCCTACAGGTCTACCGCAATGCATTTGAATGTTTCATCACTGCCTTCAAAACTTACCAACCCCTTCTGTCTGCCATTAAAAAGGAATATGAAAACACCTTTGGTCAGTGAGAAAGCTAGTCTGATTTGTATAGATTTTATAAAAATGCTATTTAAAAAAACAATTTATAACAGATTTGACAAGGTTTTGAAGCAGATTAGAAATGGCGTCCCTCAACGTTTTTGGGAAAAACAGAAAAATAAAACCTTTGGGTATAGAATTAAATAAATTAAAGTTTTATATTTACAATACATAAATATCAATATTCTCTCACATCTAAGTGGTAAATGTCTTACATCAAACTAAATTTATTGGTTCAAATGCACATGCAAAGAGAGGGTGTATAATAGTAACAACAATGTAGATATCTCTTTAGAGACAGAAAAATATAATTTGATTAGCCCTTTCTTGCAGTCATAATACACAGCAACCAGCGTGGTTCCATCCAGCCTTGCAAAGTAAGGCAATATATTTCTTTGTAAAAAAATGTATTATTCTGAATTAATTTCTCAAAACTTTGTGACTTTAATATTCAGTAACTATATTAATAATTTTGAGTCTTCTCCAGGTACTATTCTGTCTCTTTGCCATTCACTTTTGAGTGTTTTCTTCTAAATCATCCTATACATAGTCATACACTTTTCTTTGTTGTTTGTTAAGGATTCAACTCAGCATTTGTGAGAGCAAATCTGGGTTAAGAAGTTAATAAAATTAGTGGAAAGGATTCCACTAGATTCCAATAGCCTTCTAAAAGGTCCTAGCAGTTTGTGTAGGCAGTAAAATGATAAGTTCTATTGTAGCATAGAAAGAGTTGGTTTCAACATGTTATTCTCACCTAGTTAAAACTAATTGTCTATTCAGTAAAAAGATGAAGTTTGTAGAGGTTAGCTTTTCTTTGTATAAAGACTTTATATCAGGGAGTTGATTATTTGTTGTAATGCATGCATTGTATACATCTTTTCAGTTCATCAGGGAGAACAAATCAAAAAGCTGGAACCACTGCAGTCCCATCTGAGGCTGGTGACAGAGGAATGTGACAGAAAGATTCAAGCTCGCTGGGCAGAGGAGCAGGCTGAGATTGCTGCCTTGAAAATGGAGAAGCAGAAGCTAAAGGAGGAGATTGAAGCCATGAGAAAGAGAGAGAAGACAGTGCAGTCAGTGGTAAATGGCATACTTTTAATTTTATTTTTGTTTAATTAATCATGTGACTTTTAGTCACTTGGATGAGTGACAAAACGTTTCTCCCACTGAAAACGCTACGTCTAGATGAACAGAATCAACTTTTGGAGATTTATTTATCTGGATGATTGAGAATGCATCAAGACATGTGACTTTTAAGGCCATGAAAGCTTTTATGAAAGCATAAAAGCTTAAGGGCATGAAAGCATACACACAACCCTGCGCATAAAGGAAATGCATCCATCAATTATTGTATCAGTCACCCCATTGCCTGTTGTTCCTCTTAAGGTGGATCATCTGCAGTCAGAACTGTCTGACCAGTATCTGCAGTACCGGGAGGAGCGTGATGCTCGCAGGCTGCTGATTTGGCAGCTCAATGACATGACAAGAAGTAGTGTGAAGGAGCAGCGTTCTGCAGACAAAAGTACAGGTATAACAACATCTATTACATCTTTAACTAGTTAACAGTGAACTGAAAATAACTTAAGGTCCTTTTTTTTAAAATGTGAATTTAGATGTGATTTCTTCCCAAAATAAACATGTATGGTTTTAAGACAATATAACATATTCTTTATTGGGATTAATTAATTAATTAATTTTATTTTATTTATCAAAGGGATTACTTTCTCACACGCTGACCAAATGATTTGAAGGTTAATATGAGGAGTCACCATAGCAACAATATATGTACGATGGAATTAAAGGAAAAACAATTGATACCCTTTAAGTGATACTGAAAATAATAATTTGTTTAAACGTTGAAACTGTCAGTATCTTTATTGGATGGTATTCCTTAGGAAACATTTCCAGTGACTCACTAGAGACTCTCTGTAACTATAGTAGTAATGGAGAATAACTCTGTAAGTAACTGTGTTAAACTCCATATTTTGCATTTGAAAGTTAAAGTTAAACTCCATAAAAAAGATTATTTTTGAGATTGAAAAAATTGCAGAAGTAGTTTGCAAATTCTGTTCGTTTGAATTTTATTTCACTACTTTCCAACTTTTTGTATTATTATTATTAAATAATTGATAAAAGATGGTAGCGTGTGATCAGCTTCTGGTGTGGGGCATGCCAGAAAAAGTTTGAAAACCTCTTTGATGGAAAAGGCCCAACATTATCTATATTTGAAAAACCCAAGTACAGTAACCTCTAGAGCTCAGCAAAACATATGTTTTTATGTTTATAAAATATAAATGTCTATAGGGAAGTGTGTCATGCTCTTACATGTGTTTCCATTTAGATTGGAAGGATCCTGTGGAACTGCAGCTCGCTCTAAAGGTGTGTCGAGAAGACCTGAGGAAAGCCCAGGAGGAACTGAACAGAATGAACGCAGAGTACTGGGGTGTTGTGCCCCAGTGTGACTGGGACGCCCTTGAACAGAAACACCAACGGACCGAGCTTCAGGTATCTCATGCTGGATACTATATATAGACTTCATGACTTAACATCTCAACAGTCTTTGGTGACTTTTTTTTCTTTTTATTGTGAAGTTGAAGACACTCCAGGATGACTTTGATCAGTTAAAGAGTGAGTATGACACACTGCTGGAACTCCACAAACGAGGCAGCATGCAGGCCAAGACACACGTCTCAACCTCTGTCCAGGTACTTTACGTATGTAGAACTTGAACAGATTTTCAATTTTATGAATATTCTAATAAATGTAATGTGTGTGTCACTATCTGTCTCTAATCTAATAAATGTCACCTGATAAAGCTGATAAAGAGCCTAAATATGAATAAATTAGGGTCCAGAAGCTCGATACTGCTATTCCAGCAATAGAGACAGCTTGACAAATGTCATCGTAAACTGACAAATATGAAAGTTGGATCAATCTTCTCAGCAAAAGTAACGACCAACATTGCCACCAAAATGTTTTTCAGACTGATGAGAGTGGGTCCCAGCAGCAAAGCCACATTCAGTCCCAGCAACAAGAGGAACCAGTCACCTCTGATGCCCCTGAGAGCAACATGTTCCCTGTCCATGAGTCTAGGTGATAAAAATAGATATACATTGAAACACACACACACACACACACACACACACACACACACACACACACACACACACACACACACACACACACACACACACACACACACACACACAGTCAGTTTTATTTATACTGCATAAAGTCATAATTTTGCCTCAAGGGGCTTTAAAATATGTGCAGCATACACTACTGCCTAGCCTTATACCATCAGTTCAGATAAGCCTTGAAGGTTATGAGTAATTTTCTGTCTGGTTCTGTTTTACTTTGTCAAATGAGAGCCATGTGTATATATGTGTGTGTTCATATGTATAGGGAGGCCCAGAGGACAACATATTTTGGAGAGGAAACGGATCCACGTTTGGCCTCATCTCAAGGTGAAGCAGGCAACAGTGGTGATCCCATCTCCTCTTAGAGCCTGCGTTTAGTGGCTGGGGTCTCAAGTTTGAGCCTTGATGTAATTCACAACA